GTGGGCAAGAAGCACCTCAGCCTAGATGACTGAGCAGATCCAAGGAGTTATAGACCCGTTGCTGAAGTAGTTCACCCCCTTTTCCTTGTGCCCCCACCTCTCCTTTCCTTTTTTTTTTTTTTTTTTTTTTTTTTTTTTTTTTTCACTGCCCTGAAAGCCCTTTTGCAAAAACTGAAAGGGCCCAGCTCTGCCCACAGCTGTGAGTCATGACTCTGAAGCCAAGCTGCTCCTGTGTGTGCATTCAAAGGGAGTATTGGGCCTTGGGGACTCAGGTAAAATAACAACATTCATTTGTTTACTTATTTCCTTAAACCTTTATAAAACAAGCACAAGGCTTACTCTACCTGAATACCTTTTTTATAATCAGTTTAACAATATACTGTAAAATTCAAATTCTCACAGTTGATCTCCTGCATTACAGCACAAATAACAACAACAGCAACAACAATAACAATAACAATATCCTGGGTTCTGGGTCCAGCTGACAGTCATAGAGAGGTAAGAATGAATTTCCAACATGCCAGCCTTTGGGAAAATTCCATGTTTATCCCCCAGGGAACTCTGCACAAGGGATCAAAATTCAGTGTTCTTTGTTAATAACCGCCTGGACTACCTAAGCGGTTTTTATTTTTTGGAGTTTAAATGTAACACCGATGATTATAGGAAAAATATGTGCAAGCCGAAATCCTCCCACCCCTACAACCTTCTCTTCCAAGGCCTTTCTAGTTCTCAAGTCTTTGCCTCCTATCTCTTGGGTTTTTCTCCCACATCCCACCCCCAAAATCAAAATTGTACCCAGCATCAGTTCTTTTGGCTGTACTCCTAGAGATCTGTTCCTCTACTAGTACAAAATCAATACATTCATCTTAAAAAGATAATCATTTTTCTGGCTTCCAATTGTGTAAATGTTTTTGTACACTACCATCCTCGTTATAAACTATTTTGCTTTTTAAAAGGATTGTATTTACATTTTATTGGTATAAAAACTGTAATATGCCACCTACTACAAAAAAAAAACAATGAAATAGAGAAAGCAAAGAGTGTTCTCCAATTATTTTTTCCTAGAGCCAAGTCTTATTAACAATTCCCATAGAATGTATATTTAAATTTTGTTTTGCCTTTTTTGTATTTATTTTTTATTAGCTGTATATTTAAATTTTTAAATGTAAAATGAAATATTGAAGAGGTTGCTTGACTGGACAGTACACCCTGTTGTAATTCTTCCAGGCATTTCTCTGTTCCCCACTCCCTAGGGAGGTGTTCAGGAGCAGACAGGAGTGTCTAGACACCTCTGGCCTCCTTTTAATATCAGTCCTGGAATGTGGCACCTTCTCTACCCAAGTATAGATTTGCCTACTGGCAAATTCCTTTCTTCTGGCTTGTTCTTATTCTTTTGTTTTACTGCCGGAACAAAGTGGAAACGCCTTTTTCTGTTATTAAATTCAATTACTCACAAGATGCCCAAATGCTAGGGTTCAAAGTTCATTCTCATTCTGCAATCTTTGTTTGTTGGCTGGGATTTGACACCTTGGCTCTTAAGGTAAAATTAGGCCCATGTTTCTGTGTACAAAGAAGACTAAACAGAACAAATATTAAGCAAGCAAATGAGCAAAACTTGATAGCATTAACATTGCTTACAGATACACAAAAGCTATGTAGAATTAAGTCATAGTAATACTAACTACAACAGTTATGTGAAATGGTTATTCATACCTAAATTTTGGGGTAGTCAATGTTAATTGTATCTTTCAATGCACCCACATGCTGGAAAGAGTTTTCTGGATAAGTGATAAGTGAATGACCTTTCCATTGGGAAGAAGCAAATGTTTATTGCTTAACAAAATTAATTTATGGTAAATCTAATTTTATCATGTTAGAGATTGTTTCCCAGGCTCAGCACTCTCCTTCTAGAAACATCACGTTCAATCTTTGGAATGATCACTGTTTCAAATATGCATGCTTCTGTCTCACAGCCAGCATGGATTGTCATATTTACCATGATCCCTACACAGCTGGTCATTTGTGGATCCTGGGACAGGCACCCAACCAAAACTAAGTCAAAAAGAATGTTTTTGAGTAAGAATAGGCAGCAAGTCTCCAGGAAGGGGAAGCTGGAGAATAGACTCTGAAATGTAGGAGCTATGGTTCCTCTGTTCCACACTGCATGGGACAGTAATGGCTTCCCTAACTACACATGAAGACGACTTGGGGAACCTTTGGGAAAATGTGCTGCCCCCATTGCAAAAGTCTATTAACTTGTTCAGAAAGGGAACCAAGGTGTCAATATTTCTAGAAAATGCTCCTCAGTGATTTTAATGTTCAGGTAGTCCTAAGAACTGTTGAACTGGAAAATGCTTACAGTGACAAAGAAAATAAATCGTAAGAGATGCAGAAACATAAACAAGTGGACACGCAGATTTTAGGTATTCAGCAGGCTGAACCACTTCTAGATTTTTTTTCTGTTGAACTATTTTTAATTATCTGAGATAGTCCAGTATCTTTCCAATAAATCCACCTTTATCCTAAGTCAATTTAAGTTGTATTTGTGTGATTTGCAAGTAGAGAAGAACACACTAGGTCACTGTTATCATATTCTGAAACTTAATAGATTTTTATACTGGTGCAATATCTTCTCTTCACTCATTGTCCTCACTCACTAAACAAGACCAGTAGCTAGCTACCCTAGTCCTGTGAAACTCATTGGAAACCCTAAAGCAAAGATGCCATACAGTTCCTTAATTTGAGACATTCTGTTCTGGCAATAAATATGAGTGTGTTAGCTGAGAGAAATAGCAATACAAGAATGCCCTACGAGAGAAATACTGACTGGTTGCTGTAATAGCACCATCGGTATGATCTGGCGAAGCTCATGGAAGCTTTGACAGAGAAGTGGCTTCATGTTGGTAGAAAAGTAAATTACTGTCACTGTCGCATGGTAGACAAAAAAAGAAACACGAGAAGCTACATGGCCGGGGGCCAGAATTTCATAAGAGGAAAGTATATTAGGAAAACTGTGATGGCTGAGCTAAAGGAGCATGCTAAAGACAGGAAAGTAAAGATGGTTGTTAGGTCATAGACACTTACTGCAGAACTTTAAAATGGCTTAGCCAGAGCAAGGAAATGAATGGATGTATGTGCAGGAAAGATTTATCAAGATAAGTCATAGGCTAATGGTGCAAGTATCAGAAATCAATAATTTAGAAGGTTATTGTCATTTTCAAGTAGAGAATTAATGAAACCCTAAACTAAAAATTTGATAAGAACACCTACTAAAAATGAATGGCAGGCTCCCCTGGATATGGTAACTAATTGAGGTCAGTTAAAGAATAAGACTGAATTCCAGTACTTGAGACTGAGACAGGAGCACTGGGAAATCTGGGTCAGTCTGGTCATACAGCAAGACCCCATCTCAAATACTGAAATAAACCAAAACATATCAAAACAGAACAAGAGCATCTGCAGAAGAGACCACTTGCAAATGAAAGGAAGAATAGAAAACATGAGCAAGCATAGTGACAGACAACATTTTTAGTGACTTCTATATTACTTGCTTTGTTGTAAACAGAACATAATTATATATACTAATATTCATGCTTGTTTTTCTTAGATGTCTCTTGTTTTCACTTCAAGACTAGTTTCGGGATAGATAGAACTAAGCAAAGGGAAGGTTGCTGTTTGTGTATAAGTCTTATCCTATTTCCATGCCCCCTAAGCTGACTTTGTCCCTCCTCTGTTTGTAAGATAGACCATAGAATTAGTGTTTGGTTTTGTCTTATTTGGCACTGAAGATGTGGGACAAAATCCAGGCCATCTTGTTGAGCTTATTGGCAAATGAGCAAATTGGAGCTAAGGTCTCTAGTAGGATGCCTGGGAACTACAACAGGACAGTCAAAATAGGTACTTTTGTATGTGGGTACAAGGTGGGACAGAAATGATTAGAAGGAGGAGGAGGACTGTTGTTCCTAATTTAATAATTTTCTGAGCATTTACTTTAGCAACTGGCTCTTATTTAACTCCCACTTCCCAAGTAACAGAATTTCTTCCTACTGTAGAGCTTGCCTATATGATATCCCATGTTTATGGAAATATGATCATAGGGCTCATGATCAAGAGGTGGGCATACTACAAAGTATCAAAGGTCCAGGGAGGGGCACCCTGCTGTGTCTGTGTGTTTCTTCCAAATACATTCCTATCACAACTCATTGTATGTAGCACAATCTCTAAAACTCTTAACTTACATCATGAAGCTTTAGATGCTGGGCTTCCACCTCATCTGACAGTCTTTCCCCTTCCTTTGACAGGATGCTAGCCACTCTGAAGTTTTTGCTTGTATTATTTTGTGTACATATTTTCTTTATTCTTAGGAATTTTATGTATGTATACAATGAAACATGATCATATTTACTCCCCCAAGAAATATGATCACGTTTACTCCCCTTTCTCTCCTCCTCCTTTCCTCTTATCTCCTTTGATCTATCCCTTTTCCTCTTTTATAACCTACTAGGTCCAATTAGTGTTGCATAGGACTATCTACTGGAAAACTGGAAACCTACTAGTATCCACACATTCAAAAAAGAATGAGTCTCCCTTCCCCAGAAGCTATCAACTGCCAACAACTCAGTGAGGGGTGGGACCTGGAGAGCACCCACCCTATTTACGCTGGAATTTGGGCTGGCTTGATGTTTGTGCAGGTATTTGACCTTTCAAAAAAGTGATATTAAACATATAAAATCATGGAGTCCAGAATAGACCATATATACACATATACATACATACATGCATACATACATACATACACACATACATGTAACAGCACACTGAATGGACTTGAAATATGAGAAAAGATGGTGGTCCTTTCTTAGCAGTGAACACTGATAATATTGGGCCCCCAAAGAAAAAAAAATTCTCTGTGTCTAAACCAATAGTTTTGGACTTGTCTTTGTTAGGGTTTTGTTGCTGTGATGAGATACCATGACCACAGCAACTCTTATAAAGGAAAACATTTAATTGGAGGTGGCTTACATCATGGCAGGAAGCATGGTGGCACACAGGCAGACACAGTGCTGCTGGAGAAGGAGCTGGAAATTCTACACCTGGATCTGTATGAAGCAAGGAGAGAGAATGAATCAATGGGCCTGGATTGCATCTCAAAGCCCACCCACAGTGATATCTTCCTCCAACAAGGCTACACCTCCTAACAGTGCCACTCCCTATGTGCCTATGGGAGCCATTTTCGTACAAACCACCACAGGCCTCCTCTACTATGTGGTAAGCTCACATGGGACTAGAGTTCTTAAAGCCCAATTAGATTCAAGTTTGCATTGTATGTCTTCTTAGTAACACCATAGGCACTGACAAAACCAGTATGGAAATATGTTATATGAAGCTGAGCATGATGTAACACACTTATAATCTGATCATTTAGGAGGCTGAGACAGAAGATTCCCAAGTTCTGGACCAGCATGAAATGGTTCACATGGTAATACCCTGTCTAAAAAAGAAAAACAAGCAACAAAAGATGTGCCATGTGAATGTTGTGTGAATGTGTATGTGTGTGTTCATATGTAAATTAGTTTCTCTGGCAGAAAGGACAGGGGACATAAGTGAGATTATTTATTAAAATAATGGACTAGAAAGAAAGTTGATAAATGAACAAAGGTGGGATCCCAGAAGGAAATGGAGAGTTGAAAATTAAAGCAAATTTTAAAAATCCTTCCATAGCTCAAAAAAAGACATGAAAGTGGTATCACCTGCACAGAGTCCATCAGCTTCACAGCTTGGCTATTACAGAATCCTAGACCATGGACCTGACAAAGGGCATCATAGAAAGGGATTTGATAATAGTAACAATTTTTTTTGTTGTTTTTTCAGACAGGGTTTCTCTGTGTAGCTTTGGAGTCTATCCTGGCAC